CAACGAAACTCGAGCCGAGGCAGATACGCCAATTTTGTCTGTCATTTTTGCAGGAAGCGCGGGCACATTCAAAAGAATTGTTATCGTTTTCTGGAAGGTCAAAGGGATTCTGTTAAGTTCGTGAAGGAGGAAACACATGTTAACAATGTTCACGACTATTTCAAAAGGCTTCGAATTGATTATAGTTCTGACACCGAGGAAGAAGGTGATTATCCCTGTCTTATGATTTCTACTATTAGAAAAGTAAGCAAACCTTGTCTACTCGAAGTCAAAATAGAAGGAAAAATGTGTGTAAGGGAGGTCGACAGTGGTTCGGCCGTTTCTGTAACAAGCAGAACAGAATTTATGGAGACATATCATGGTGTCACTTTGAGAAATAGTAACAGAAAACTAATTGTGATCAACGGATCAAATTTAGAAATTTTTGGAAAAGCATTTGTATCAGTCTCATTGAATGGATTTGTAGCAAAATTTGATTTTGAACGGGGAGCATCAGTTCACTTCTCTTATTGGTAGAAACTGACTGGATGTATTTTTCAACGGTTGGAGAGATAACTTTATACGACTGTCAAAGTCTTTAAGCTTGTGTGGAGTAAGCAGTATTGGGGAATATCAAGAACAAACTTTGAGCATCATAAAACATCATAATTCTAACATTTTTAACAGAGATTTTTCGACACCTATCATTGGTTTTGAAGCGGAGTTGGTATATTAAAAGATGATCAACCAATTTTTAGAGAACCGTATGAAGTACCCTACCGACAAAGAGATAAAGTGTTGAACCATTTGACTTTGCTAGAAAAAGACAAAATAATTACTCCCATCAAAACCAGTTTATGGGCTTCCCCAGTTGTGGTGATCATCAAAAAAGATGGCGATATCAGGCTAGTTATAGACTGCAAAGTATCTCTAAACAAGGTTTTGATAACACCTATCCTTTGCCAGTAGCTCAGGATTTGTTTGCATCCCTGGCTGGCTGTAATGATTTTTGTTCCCTTGATTTAGCTACGGCTTAAACACAACTGCAGTTGTAAGAAAATTAAAAAAAAAATATTATCAATACAATAAAGGGCTTTTCATGAGTGATGTCACAACCATCCAAGATTTGTGCCCTAGAAATCTTGAAGTGATAGGGAATATCAGCCATCATGACGGTCATTGTTGGACGCTTCAATGAATCACACGAAGAAAGCCTTACTTATTGTAATTTAGGAGCCAAATGTAATAGAATATGTATTCGCAGTTTTATGAGGTCCTCAATTTAATCAAGTTTTACTAAGTAGAATATCCTAAATATGTACATAGAACCGAAATCATAGGTTACTTCTACTGAATTTTAAATAAATATCTAGAAAAAAGCATGAGAATGTCACTACTCAGCTAAACGTAGTCTACGTCAACCATATGGTCATGTCTTGTGCACAACCCCACCAATTTGTTTATTCAATTTTTTTAATCGACTCCAAAAATCTACGGCAATGAGTGGTTCAGTAGATTTATGGTGTGCTTAAAATCGATTAACAAAAGTGATTAATCGAACCAAAATAATCGATCTTCCATGTTTCGAAAAAAAAATCACCCATTACTAGTGCAAATTATATTCATAATCTTATCCATCACGGCATCATATGTTACTCAAACGGGTGAAAATGCCGACCATTTCAACTTACCCCGATCATGTTAAGTTTAAACAAAAATCTCAATAAACCTGAAGCTTGCAGAAAATGGTCAAATTAACTGCTACTTACCAAAAAAGTTCATACTATATAATCAAGTTAATCGAGACTGAAATCATTCCATCAGTCAACGAGCCTTCCCAAACAATAGCCACCGTAATTAGCCCATTTTTCTACGCAACCCCACACACAGAGTTTGAAAGTTGCCCACCGCTCCACTCTCCACATTTGTCACACCAGGAAAAATGCACCCCAGGCACAACCCAAAAATCAATCTTCTACCTTTGCCAAAATTGCGCTAATCTGTCATCATCTGATTTCTTCCAAAATTGAAACTGACGATGCCTTCCGGACGCAATCAGCAGTCTCTGTGGTCGGTCGACTAGACCAATCCGCAGCGCGCCGTCGCCGGTAGCATTAATCCCATCGTGGGTAGCGACCAACCGACAGAGAAACAAAAAAAAAACAACAACATCTGGGGCCCAGCAGCGTGTTAAACACAACCCGCCACCGGAACCGAAATTAAGTTATCATTCCAAATTACATCGAACGAAATCATCTCAGGGCCCGGGTCGATTTTCGTCATTTGGCGACCCACACCCCATTTCCTCTCTGTCCGCGCCGCAAGTTCCGAATCTCCCGGGTGGCTAATTGATGTTTCTCGTGGTGAGTCACTGATTCGATGCTTGATTAGAGCATGGTAGGTATGTCGGTAGTTGGTAATGTTTGTTTTGTGCGGTTTCTCAAGGTTCTACTTTCATCTCTCCGGTCGAGGAAACAAGCAACCGACAAATAAGTCATATAATCATCATTAAAACAGGTCAAAAAATTGAAACAGAGACCTATCCACCGGCCGTCAACAATCCAAAGATGCCTCCGCTTTGACTTGAGCCGAAAGGTTAATAGAAAAAAAAATGGAAACAGAACGGACAAGATGTAGGAAATTAAAGTTGCATTTGCACACACAGGTTGAAGTTTCCCATCGCTTCCCTCTATTTCGCGGTCTGTGCCGGATCGTTCCTCAAAGAATACATATATCTTCTCACTGCTTCCACTTCGAGCCATGTTCCAACATGCCGTATGGCTAACTGTTTTCAAATAGCTGGAATTCTTCGATCAATTGAAATATCAAAATCCAATAAATTAAATTATATTATTTGCATGTTCCCTACGGTTGGCTCATCGTTTGTTGGCATCAGGCTGTGCCGAGTACCGGCTCCTCAACAAATCCTAGCCTGAACACGAGAAGTGCATCTTCCCTATTGACCTGCAATTGGGTCGTTATCGGTTGGTCGCCGTGTACTCTGTACCCACTTTCCGGGATGGGCTTTCGTCGGGTCGCTTGTTCATATCGATAGCGACCTACTCATGAAACCTGTGTGCCTCTGGACAGTACGATATGCAGAATAAGTCCTCGCCTGACAGAACAATGGGGAATGGGAAATTCCAGCCCATTGGGCCGAATAATGGTCGGTGGTGGTAAGTGGAAATCATTTTGCTTTCAAGATTAATGTCTGACAAATTTTCTGAATTGTTTGTATGAAATTGAGCGGTGAAAGGTATCCAAGTGTGGTGGTTGAAATTTTTAGAACTGGTTTTGAATAGACCAAATTCTGCCAAATCTCCCTATTATTCATGAATAGCACTTCAATTCTTACTTAAGGGGGGAAACACAAGTAATTTTTTTTTTTTTATCGATTTTTTATATATTACTTTATTTTTTTTTAACTCTACGTACACGAGGAAGGAGTAATCTATGGCCCCAGTATCGCCGATGAACCGTAAGTTCCAGAAATCATGTTTTTACACAACCCAAAACTTTAAACGCGTTTTTCTCGAAACGGTGATTTCCAAATTGGCGGGAAAGATAACTCAAAAATTTCTCATTCAAATGACTTGAAACCTGGCGCATTTTAAAGGAAATAGATGTTTACTCTATGCCACTGAAATCATGAAAAAATTAACAATAAATAATGTTCAGGTCTGCCTAAAGTGGAAAAAACAGCGAAAAATCACTTTTTTTTCAGATATTTTTTTCTAAATTGTTGAATTGTTTTTTTTTTTGGGTTTTAGAGGTTCACATAGAACAAAAATCTTTTCTGAATAAGGTCCAATTGATAAAAGTAAGTTTTGTCCATTTTTCAGGTCTCTAGAACACCCGCCAATTACCAATCCCCACCGGAGGCAACCTCCTTCCGATGTGACCCCAAGGAGCCACAGAGGTCACACACCAATGAAAAAAATCTCAAATGTAGAGGAAGATTTAAGAAATTTAATGCAAAAAACACCAAACCTCAAAATTCCGAAAATCGTCGAGTTTTTGTGTTACTTGTATTTCCCCCCTTACTCCAAACATCCTTTAACCACTTAACATTCCTTAAACAAACTTTTTTTCGAAGGCCGCAAAGACAATATTAAAAAACGTTGGATTTTTAATAAATCTAGGTCAATTTAACTTGTTTCTGAAAAAAATATATATAAATATAAATAAACATCAGATATCTTGAAGTCTGGTGATTTTATACGATAAATGAGGGGATGAAAGTGTAGAGTCGATGGTTCCGTTAGAGTACGGTAGTGTGAAAATTGTATATACACTCAAAAAAGTAGTGTAAATTTCTGTTCAATATGATGCACATAAATGGAGTGGCACAAATCATAAACGTTTACATTGTATATCATGTAAAGTTCTGAATGTTGTATACAAAAGCCCATCTTTGTAAACAACATTGTTTGCAAGTTGCTCGGTTGCGTGAAATGAAATACAAGTCTACGTGAAGGAATGTTTACTTCACAATTAAAAATCAGAATTTTGAACTGTGTAGAGAATAGAAAGCGAGCAAAGGTAATTTTGAGGAAGGCACGAATCGGGATGATCATCTCCTTTAACAAACTCCCCTGTTGGGGAAGGATGGTGAGGAGTATCTCCCCCGCCACCACTGGCAAAATATCAATATGATCCAAAACTTCTTAAATAAAATATTAATAATAATAATCAATATGATCCATATGTTATGTAAAATTTAGCAACACAATTGTAAAAATGTACCGCTAAAATTCTAAATAATGAGCATTAAAATTGTACGAATTACCCATAAACATAACGCAATTGATCCATAGCACATTCAGCAGTGAACCTTAAACTAAAGAAAATAATCCACAAAAAATCAAGTTTGCGCACTTAAAAATATAGCCATGTTTGGATTAATGAAAGCCACTTCCTCATGGCAGTCGCGTTTTGGATAGCTTGAAGCTGAAATAGGTTTTATTAAACTAATATAAAATCTAACCCAATCTTAATGCTTATAATAAAACCTATTTCAGCTTCAAGCAGGCCAAGCAGAACAACATCGGATATAACCTCAAAATGTCAGAGGGATCAACACCACCGTCGAGTGAAGATCAGAACAGCGATAAAAAATTGTACGCTTTGTGAAGGCCATGACCACGTAGATGATATGGTCTAGTGTGATGTCTGCAATTTCTGGATCTATTATATTTGTGCTAGTAAGAAAACAGCTGTAAAGGAGATTCCGTAGACGTGCTCGAAGTGCACAAATATGCTGAAGGTGCCAAAAGGAACCAAGAAGTATGTCCCAAAGAAACCACATAGCAGAAAGAATAGTACGAGGAGAGATGCCGGATCCGAATCTGGAAAAGGAAGTACCAATGAGGTCAGCCTGAAGCAATCCCAGACCACTTGCAGCAGGAGAAAAGCGCAAAGGAAAAATCACTGGAGGAAGATAAATTCCTCCATGAAAAGTGATAGGAGGCTGAGCGGGAGATTTTTCAAATCAAGAGTTATCTTCCGTCACTCTTTCAACAAAGATTTTGCTAGATTTAGGATTAGGGATTCAATTATTTTTTAGTTAGGTACGCAAACGATGTATGATGAGCTACTCACAAGTTACTTAGGGTAAATCAAGTATAAATATAACGTTTAGGAACAAATGGTAGGTTACCAGATTTTAGGATCAAATTGTAGTATCTAGATTAAGCAAATATAGGGTTATGAAATTCAATTTTTTTTTCACGAATTCCACCTCCAACTAACCTACCTCATTAGCTTGTTCACAACAAATCACTATAATTTAATTAAACGATAGGTATAGTAACAAATTTAGGCAATTAACTTAATTTAGCTGTAAAACGTGTTGGAGATGGTTTGGAATTGTAATTTCTTATCCTCTTTTTTTCTCGTTCTTTCTCCAACCTATCGTAACTCACAGTTCCGTTGAACCAAACCTGACGTCTGCTATTTCTGACAGCGACCGTTACCGTAGCTCTTTGAATCTTCAGGGTTATCCCGATATTCCGAACAGCCATGATTCATAAATTAGACGTGTATTATTCACGTTTTGGACACTATATTATTAATTTTGATCCATAAACCATGAAAAATTGCTCCATTACTGCGTAACTACTTAGATTTACTGTTAATGTTAATTTTATGGATCATACCTACACACTTCGAAAATCCTAATTTTACACGTGACGGAATCCATCTATGACATAAAGCATGACACGTAAACAAACATGTCATGTAAAATTAAGTGCTCCGAGACTGAAAAGTTTGTTACTCGACGAAACGTACGCTTTATTGAGCTGAATTTCGTGTCTAACATGACTTAATTTTATGTCAAAATTGACGCTCGTATAAGTTAGTCTTAGAGCACCTAAATTTACATGAATTTTTCTAAGTGTGTACGGTAGGTGTTCCAGTTATTGGTAGACGTTCCTATTATGATGTGTTCCAATTATAATCTATGGAATATACATATGTTTTTCATGTTTTGGACCCTTTTTTTTAAATTTGATGCATAAACCTTGGAAAATTGCTACATAACTGCGTAGCTACTCAGGTAGCTCCTTTCCCTTAAGAACCCTCATTACATTTTGTGAATTTTTGGCCACTTTCATCCATTCTTTCTTCAACTCCAGCTAGTTCTTAAACACCTTCGACGATTTTAGAACTTTGGCCTTCATTATGGCCCAAAATCTTTCCACCGGACGAATCTCTGGTGAATTTGGGGGTTGGCGGTTTTTTGTACAATAGCAACGTTATTGTCTCTGTATCAATCCAACGTCGAACGCGCGTAATGGCATGATGCCATGTCCGGCCAAAATAATGTCTCGCTTCCGTGGAACCGCAGGAAGGGCAACAGATGCTTCTGGAGGCACTCGGTGCGGTAAATTTCGCTGTTGATGGTACCTATTACTCAGTTTACCGCATTGGCATATGGCCTGCCAGAGCAAGTATTTTTTGGCGAATTTGTTCACTTTCTACTTCCTTATGTCTTCCGGAACATCAAACCGTGATTCGGCAACGTAGAACTCCAGCCCCGGTATCTGCTTTGCGTCTGCCTTGATGTAGGTTTCGTCATCCATAACCACACACACATCGGTTCCTTTAACCACTCTCGATACAGCTTCCTTGGGCGGGATTTGGCCGCCGTGTTTTGTTGATCACGCCGGTTCGGTGCCTTCCGGACCTTGAATACAAGAGGCCCAGCTCGTTTCATGGTTTGCTGAACGAACCAGGCGGAACACTTTGCCTTCAGAGCCGAGTCGCGAATCGAAAGGTTCGGATTACGCTTGAAATAATCCAACACCTTCCGGGCCTTCACAGGGTCAGCTGTCTTCGATTTTCTTCCACTTCCAGCCCGCCGCTCGGTCGTCTGGGATTCCTTAAACGATTTTACCACCTGAAACACAGTTTTATGGGTGATTCCCAGTTGTCTTCCGATCCATCTCATGGTCGCAGTCGGATTCACCGTAATAACAATTTTCATCAATTTTTACCCACGGATAAAAAAGTTACACACGGATAAAAATGGTGATTTTTTTTTCGAGTACAAGCCTTAAACGTCATTACGATTTAATTTTAGATTTGAATTTAGGGATTTTTTCAATAAAATATTTTTATTCTGAAAATTATAGAATCTTTTTTCCAGCATAACTTTGCATAAAGCCGTTGGTCCCCAGCCCATGAGTTGCTGGGTCCATAGGTAGGATACAGATGTGGGAGCTGCCTCCCTGGCGTCAGTAGCATTGGTACTCAGTAAGGAAAACAAGATCGACGGAAAAGAAATCAAGGAAAAAAATGGCTGTTTATTAATTGATTTCGAAGCGGCACCGGTGGTGTAGCGGTTAGCGTGATTACCTCTCACTCCAGCAGGCCTGGGTTCAATTCCAGTCAGCGCCACCGGGATGTTCTGAAGCATAACATCTCTGATCACGCCTTCCTTGGGATGGGAAATAAAGCCGTTAGTCCCCGGTTCATGAGTTGAAAGCAAATCAAGGAAAAAAAATTGATTTCGATGCCGGTAATTTTCTGATATGATTAATCGGCTGCTTTATGGGTAACACTGCATCTTGCACTTATGACATAGTAGCCCGGGTTGTTTGCCCTATTTTTTGCACCAAGTACACCAATGTTGCCTAATGAGCAGTTGATGGATCATGTCAGAAGAACATCATCATCGTAATCAATTAACCACTAATTATTCTGATGTTCAATTAAAATATGTTCTTCAACAAAAATGTAGCTGGAGAAATTATACATAAATACAGATAGCTAAGTTTTTCGTAGATCATAAAAGTGAAAGTCTAGAACGATGTGCACCAGTGTCTGTTTTTATCAGCAAGAAGCAGCGTTTCAACCCAGTGTAGATGAATTCCCGAGCAGAGAATGAAAAGAAAATGAAAACTAATTTTGATATTTTGATATAAGCGTTTGTGATAACATATTTTGCCTACCGTGTGGTCGAGTTAACAGTCATCATAATAAAAATGAGATCTAAATGGTATATAAAGGAAAACAAATCATGTTTTTTGATAAAAAAAATCCATGTATGCGTTTTGATATCAGTAATTTCGTTAATTGTAAACAAAATAAGTAATCAATATGTTATTATAACTATGGTAGGAAAACAAAAAATTAAAAAAAAAAACTAAATTAGTTATTCTTTTGCTTTCATGATATCAAATTTAGTAATCTGAATGTTTTGAAATCGATTGGTTGATATCAAGATTGAACATCAAAAAAATTTATCAATAAGTTTTCATTTATTCAAAATAAAAACAAACCTATATTTCAATCAGTTCTATTAACATCTATATTTTATTTATTTGTAAATTTAATTCGCAGGTATATTAGGATCAATAAATGTTGTAAAATATAACTGATCATAATCCAAGCTGAGCATTGCATTAGGTCTTAAGTAACATTGGTAGATTCTCTTCGTTACAAGCAATTTACTCGGAATGAATTTGCGGAGTTTTCAATATTTTTAAATTTGAGCTTTCAAAATTGTCTTAAAAATAAACAAAACAATTTTTATAATAAGTCTTCATGCAGAACAAATCAAAACTTCCAGCTACAAATTTAAATTCCGTTAGTTTGTCAATTTTGTTTAATGTAGAAAGTTATTTATATATTTACATTATTAAGTGATCAATTGCCTCCGGATTACTGAATCTGTTTTGGACATTCCCTGGAACTCAAATTGGAAATTTTATATTATAAATAAGTTACACATAATTATTTTATTTTTTTTCCTTAATTTGTTTTCCATCGATCTTGTTTTCCGTAGCAATACTAAAAACGCCAGGGAGGCAGCTTCCACACCTAGACCCTACCTATCGACCCATCAACTCATGGACCGGGGACCAACGGCTTTACTTCCCAACCGAAGAAAGGCGTGATCAGAGATGTTATGCCTCAGAACATCCCGGCGGCGTTCACTGGGATTGAACCCAGGCCTGCTGGGGTAAGAGGCAATCATGCTTACCACTATACCACAAGCGCCACAATATAGACAGAGCTACTTCTGTCACCATTATCGGATGAGCAGACGATGATAGAGATTTTCTTCAACATCTATTCGATTTTTTTGTCATGACAGAACGTGACAGTGTTGTAAACATCGCAATTACTAGCTCGTTTATTAATTTTATTGTTGCTTGTATCGCGGAAATCCTAAAAATATATTCACTTTACCGATTAAATGCTATTGCTAGTCTTGATTCATCTAATTCAGACAGAACAAACCAAATTTGTTAAAATTTGACATCGTCGTTGGGGATTTCAATGCACATCGGGAAAACAGTGGGGAACAGGGGGTTGTGATACACCATACAAACTTGACCCATCCCCAATGATTATCCAAACTGGTTTGGTGACAATTTTTTAAATGAAGGGGATTAGGCCAGATACCAACAACTTGAACACAATGTTTAAGTAAATTTAAAAGCATCTTTTGGATACTTTTGCGATTAATTTTATTTGTTAACACCAATAGCTTGGAAAGGGTATCATGTAAAACATCCATAAGTTAGTTTAATTCTAGGTTAACTTCAGTGAAACACTAAAATTATAAATTAGATATAGATATTTTTCAAAATCAATCAATAGTAATTGCAATTCAATGCACA